TTTTTTTTTTCCTCTTTTATTACTACTCCCATCTTCCCTCTCAATCCTATCTCCACTCTCATTCTCCCTCTTTTTCCTCTATACTCTAGCACAAAAAATGAAAACTAAAAACTAAAATGAAATGGTTATCAAATGGGCCCTAAGTAAACATGTTTTCCAAAATGTATGGATTTTCGGGGTGTGTGTAGGTTGTTCGGATTTTAGTATTGTGTTAATTTATTTTGATTAAATTATGGTCAAGATATGTCCTGGATCCTTTTTCCAGGTGATAGAAGAAAGTCAAGCATTTCAAGAGCTTCTTTTTCTTTAGCTTTTAGTGGAATTTTCTTTTCTTAACTACAGCTGTCAACTCTTTGGGTTCTGATTTTCTGATCGCCATTCTAAGTCTTCTAATTGAGCATGATATTGTCTTTGTGTTTTGATTTGCAGATGGTTATCATGTTCACTCTAACTTCTTTTTTTACTATATCTTTTGTGCCTTAAACTTATCTTGCTCTCTTTTCCTCGTTATTGGGTTAGTTTGCGACCTAGGTTTGTTGTCACTAGTATTATGTATAAGATCATTGAAAAATTTGTTTAAAGACATCTCTGGTTCCAATTCTTCATTGCTATTTTATCTTGTTTGATGTTTGAGCCTTATTTTCTGGTACTAAGATGTTTGAGCCTTTTTTTTTCTGGTACTAAAATGTTTGAGCATTATTTTCGAGTACTAAGATGTTTGCCTGAAATATACTCTTGAAGAAGAGAGCTTTTCTCTGAGACTTAGGTATCTGTATTCTTTTTTGACCTTATCTTTTATTGGGCTAGTTTGTTAACTTTTTTTTGTCACGGTTTATGCATAAGATCATTTGAAAATTTGCTTGTTCGAATTTAAAAAGCTGCTACATTTAAAGAAAACTTTTGTCCCAATTCTTCATTGCTGGTTTTATCTTGTATGATGGTGAGCTTTATTTTTGGGTGCAAAGATGTTGAGATCCAAGGTATTCTTTTTCTATTTTTTATTTTTTCATGGTTTCAGTATTGGTCTTAGTAAAATAAAAGAATTGACATATGGGCAGAAATTGTGGGGATAAATGGACATCATAAGAAAAGCAACAAAGATAATAGATTTACCTATTCCATTGTCTGATTGAGAATCAATTACACTGGATTTAATCCTGTTTTTCTTTTGGGTTTTGGTCAAGATTTGGTTGCATAAGGTTGGCCAATGTCAAACTTGGCAAGTCCAAATCAAATTTTGCTAATAACAGAGTCATATAGCATGGTATTGAGACATTTTTCTGTTATCTGTTTTCTGCACTTACCTTACCCCGTACTAATATGATTTTCATGGGATTATGTGCACTATATGAGATTTGGAGGTAATTGTGAGTACGTATTATACAATCCGAATGACCAGAAACAGATTATGATTTGAGTTGCAGTATTTAGTTCTCTACTAGCTAATCGTTACATTTTTAGTGGACCATGAATGGTCAGTTCTCTTCAATTATATGGGGAATATAATGCCCTCATTCAAGTTTATTAAGTATTGTATTGTTTCACATGTTCCGAATATTTACGTACATTTAACCTTTAACTAAAGGAAAACCTTGGTGCAGTATCATCAAACCCTTGGTGAAAATGTCCATTAGTGCCGTTCACATATTTCTTTGTGATGTTTCTGTTTCTTGACGGTTCTTCAGGGAAATTGAAGCATTTCTCATAATATGCCCCTCTTGTGCTATCTCTTTGTGTAAATAATGTCATAATATGAAGAAAATTATGAGGTGTGTGCCCCCTCGTCTAATCGCAGCATTGACATTTGCTTCAGTAACCCTAATGATCAGGTACCCGATCTTCATTTCTCCTCTAAATTTATGAAATAACCAAGTTAGTCTTTTCTTTGTTGCCGTTGTGCCTTAGATCTCTCTCCCATTTTATTGATTTTTTTCCCTGAGCTCTCATTTATGGTATTGTCACTATGGTTTTGTTTTAAAGATGAATGACATTTGATGCAACAATTTACAGAGCTGTTACCTTTAGGAAATCTATGCTACAAATTTGTGTTTGTTGGTTTCATCTTGTTTGGTGTTTGAGGCTTGTTTAGGAAATCTGTGGTAAATAAAATTTGTGTTTGTTTGTAGAGTTTTTAGTTACTTGTTCCCTACACTTATCCAGATTTCATACTAGTATGATTTTCATTGAGAACTTGGTAGCGAAATTCCTTGTCGCATAAGTAGCGACTACACGAATGGTGTAACGACTGCCCCCCGTCTTCGACATGGACCCGAAAGAAGAGAAGTTATAATTTTTAAAGTATACTATCAGCATTTTATGAGATCTTGAGGTAGTGTGAGCATTGTATATGGATTAGAATGCCCAGCAAGTAGTAGTTTTTTTATTATTTATTTTTAAGTTGCCGTATCTGGTAAACAAAATTGTGTAGAGCTCTGGTTAGATTTTGTTTGGTATTGTATTTCTTCACCCCAAAAACATGGCTTTGTATTTTAGCACTGGATTAAATGTATTTTAAATATTAGAACTCCTTTAGTGGGCTGGAATATGTTTTGTATGATGTGTTTGCGCAGGCGTGCCACTATTAGTAATGTTAAGTCAATGTAATTTGGACAGAAATGGAATAGAAGCCTTGCAACTAATGAAATCTTAACTGCTTTTCAAGTCATTGCGGTCTAAGTGGGGAACTGGCATGGATTGATTATTTTCTTTGTCTGGATTATTAAAGACTTCAAAATTCCACTTGCATGATGTAAGAATTCAAAGAATAAAGCGTCGAAATTGTAATCGAACCAAAAGAACTTCAATTAAACGAGATATGAATGTGTTTGAATGGACAGTACAAGTTAAAGAAATCGATGAAGAACCAAATCGGGACCAGAATAGAAGCGAAAGGAAGACAAACGAATTGCAATAACTTTAAATTGGACAAACTTAAACAGGAATGCAAATGGTACTTAAATCATCACAATGGGATTCACACATCAAGTGGAAATCTTACCATCCAAGGAAGAAAGCAGAGCAAAATAAATAAGAATTTCAACATGAGTTGTCAACTGAGTTGATATCTATTTGAGAGATGGATTGTGTGTCCTCTTTGTGCCTTCTAAATCTGGTAATATAGCCCTCTCAATTTCATGGTGATGGCAAGCCAAGTGGCCCAAATATTAGGAAACAACTCTCCCTAAATTACTATTGAAAATAAGCTGGCATAGATTTTCTTTGAAGTGATGTTGAGCCAAAATGCATAAAATGATATTGATTCCCAAAATATCCGTAAATTGGAGGGATACTATTTGCGCCGCGGATATCTTCATCATTTTGATGACACAACATGCGGTGTTATAATTATAAGAAAGTATTAGAACCCGATTATTTCCCTCTAAGTTCACTATGTTTGGTGGAAGACTCAAAATAATTAAAGATAACTACATTGAAATGGGTTTGGATGTGGATGAGGAAATTTAAAGTACAAAGGAATTCATGAATGATGGAAATTAATGTCCTAAAATTGGTAAAGTTTCTTGTTTGGCTACTGGATGTAAACACGAAATTTAATGTTTATTATCTCGGAATATTAGAATTGACGACCGTTGGAAGAAAATAACTTGGGATTTAGCTAAAATTCAGGAATTGAAGAGAAGAAATTGATATTTCCATTGTTTGGCAACTTAAACATGGAACTTATTAAATAACACGTGGGAAAAATCATGGAAATTGTGGATCGAGATTCTCAAGTTTAATTTCCATCAAAAGAGTCATTTCACAATTCCAAATGAGTATGAATTTGTTTTCACTATAATTTCTGTCATTTACAAAATTTGACATACATAACTCAAAACACTGAAATTAATCATTCCCAAAAATTTAAATGATGGAGATTTAAATTCTGCTATTTAAGTGGAGAAAACTCTCCCAAAATTCCCACGATTCTAAATTCCTTTGTCCAAATAGAGGATTAAAGTTGGGATTTATGACCTCCAAATTCTATTTTTTTTCCATGTAGAATTTTTGGATTTCTTTGTTTTTTAATCCAAATACGGGAATTGGTTTATATCAATTTGGAATTTTGACTTTCGTCAAAATCTGTTTGGATGAAGAAATTGAAAATTACATAGAATTTTAAAATGACTGAATTTAGATTTTCATTCTTTCAATTTCTATGTGTCGAATTTTCTAAATGACAATATGAAAATTATGAAATGAAGTCTATTTTGGTGGAAATTAAACTCGAGAATTTGATGCCCCAATTTGCAATTTTTTTTTCGTGCACTATTTAATAAATTCCACGCTTAAGTTGTGAAACAAGGAAATTGGCAATTTAGCCTCTTAAATTCCTGACTTTTGGCTAAATTTTAAGTTATTTTCCTTCATCTAAACAAAGAATAAATTTATTTCCCTCATCCAAATACATTGTGCTTAAAATGAATTACTCACTAAGCACTAAAATGACTCTCAACTTAAGTGAGTTGTGATAGATAGGTTGCTAATAGTTCATGAAAACTTAAGGCAACCACACGTGGAAGTCAAAGAGAAAGAGCTTTTGTTTGAAGTTGTTCTGCAAAGTTGATGAGAGAGCCGCCTAGCTAGCTTCTGAGTTATTACATGCAAGTGTGACCCCCTACTAAATCCAAATACATTTATGGTCAGGAGTTTAAGAAAGTGGTGGTATTTTAATTCATAGAGAATTAACACATTAGGAATTCATATTTTTTACCCATTATATCCTAACACAATTTAAAATTTTCAAATTTATCATCGACTTTAACCCAACAATGAGGACATTTTAGTAATTAGTACCACTCCTACCCCAATTCCATATGGTTTAGTAAATAACTTCAATAGGAATCTGAAATCTAATTCTCCTCAATCTAACTCTCTCTCAATTCAATTCCTCATAATCCGGATTAGTAAACATGTCATGAGAACAAATGGTAATTATATCTACCAGATCAAGTGATAATTCTATGTTTGAAGTGGCACAATGTGTTTTAGGGCATGAAAAAATCAATTGATTGGGATAACAAAACAGTGCTATTCCCGTTTTATACAATTTTTTTTGCTTCTTCTTCTTCATGAGTGAGACTTCGTGATATACCCGGACTTAGTCTCAATTTTATCATGGCCCGCGAACCAAAAGAGGTATAGTAGCCTATCAAAAGAAGTTAATTGATACATCCGTGTATCCTGACTCCTGACAAATCTGCTAGGTCAAATTTGAAGGTTATGCACAGTACAGGTTTTTCAAATTGTGTACTTTTGAAATATCATTCATTACAAACTATTTCAAGACTTTATGTTAAAATTGGACAACTTGACAAAACATGTGATACTTAAAAAGCTAGCCGTGGATCATGTGATGTGCCACAGATGTACCTCCTGCTACATTTAAATCCATTCCCTCCTTTCCGTTTTATATTCTCTCCATATATTATTATTTGCTCCCATCCATCCCTCATCTCTAAATCCCCCTTCAAACACACCAACCCTTTTCACAGCTTCTTGAGATTTTCTCACCTTCCATTTTGATGAAATCTCTTTTCATCAAATTCCTAAAATTTGAGTAGTCTTTGCAAGAACAAATTACAAAACTATGATGAAGAAGTACTTGTCTCTTGGAGCCCACACAAGTTTCCTGCTTGGGATTTTCTTCATGTTAATTGTGATGGGCAGAAGCCTAGGTGTGAGGCCTCACCTCCCTTGTATGTCTCATCACTCTATGTTCTATATCATTATCTCATTCATAAGTTACACAATATATAATAATTCATTATTTTGAATATTATCACTTTCATTTTTCTTCCTTGGCATTTCAGTAAACCTTCAAGCAGAAGTTGTTACCGGTAACAGAGTCAACGTTCGAATGCACCTTGAGGTTTGTTTCTCACAATATTTTTGTTAATTTCAATATTACAAGAGTGTATCAAATAATCATCTAGTCTTCAATTTATTGGAGGGACAACTTGTCACGGTAACTAAATGTTAAAAGGACATGGTTTCGATAAAATGTCCTTATAAATGTTTTTAAGACACCAAGTCATTTAAGCTGAACTGAAGTCTTTTTGCAAAGAAATGGCCTTAATATATGGTTGTTTAATCTGTTTGGTTTTTTTTTGTTCATATATATATATATAGGAAGGAGCAAAGAAAGAAGAGAACATGGAGCTATACCCATTTGGGTCGAGCTTGCCGGACTGTTCACATGCTTGTGGACCATGCTTTCCATGCAAAAGAGTGATGGTGAGCTTCAAGTGCTCCGTTTCAGAGTCTTGCCCAATTGTCTACAGGTGCACCTGTAGAGGAAAGTACTACCATGTACCCTCTAATTGATGAATAGTACTTCATCCACCACCGCACTGGCCTCTCTGGTTTTCCTCTTAATTAATTATGTGGGGATGAATTAATTTCTAGGCTTTATATGGAAGTTAATTAACTTACTTTGAGACTGGAATTTTCTTGATCCTATTTTTGTTTAGTTAGATTCAGGATTTGTAGTTTAGATGGGAAGGAGAAAAGTTGTAGGGGAGAGTTTATTTGTATATCACGAGTTTCTTGTTTTTTCGGACCCTTTTCTTTCGAGTTTTTTTCTTTTACAAGAGCGATATTCTAAACTATTCTAATGTACGGGGAGAAAATTCAAACTCGGATGTAAGAAGAAGGCCATACTGCCTTGGCACTGGCCTAACCCATATTTGCTCCCTCACTATTTAGTAGATTTGAGCTCGCTCTCTCTCTCTCTCTCTCTCATTGTATCCATCAATGTTCTGACAGTGATGCCATTAAGGTGCTCCCTCATTGCAGCCGACAATGTATCTACATATTGGCATTTAATGCATGTATGTCGGGGTTTGGGGTTAAAGAGGAGGCAGAATCCCAAACAAAGCAAGTAATATCGTTTTTTGAACAATAAGAAGCCAACTTAATATCGTCCCGAAACAAATCAAAGAGTCTTATGGAATATTCATGGACAGATTCAGGATTTCAAAATGAACTGGGCTGGATTTACCTTACAAATAAACTCGATGGTACAAGTGTTTTTCATTCATAATAAAAAATAATACACCTAGTCGGGAGGACATAATAAGCTATACCCCGCAAAATGCTTCTAATACATAAGATAGAAACTAGTTATAAAAAATAAAAAAAATAAAAAGCAATAAATAAACATGCAATTCAAATACAAAATAAACCAAATCATGAGAATTCTAACGAAGGCAAGGGTACACTAGTGTGGTGCCCTCTAAAGACCATCAGATTGACAATCAAGTTAATCATTGCTAAAGAGAGTTTGGAAGAAAACTAGGTTGAAGCGCCCTAGGAATTGAACGCATGTCGTCTTTCGGTAGAGATCACTCGTATAACTACCTCATGAGTAGGGCAATTTGCCCTAGTAATGGGCATTAATTGCCTTCCACACTTTTGGGATCAGTTTTCATTCTGAACAAAGATTAATTCGTGTAGTAGACTTGATCTAGGACAATTTAGACTGTAGATAACAATTTTTACACAAGTTCTTTGCAATTTATTCCAGATCGTTTTAGCCTTAGAGTTGACTCTAGTCATTGAAGAAGCTTTACCCATATCCATTGTATTGCTAATCGAGATGGCTTTGTATGTACTTTTTTAATTGATCTAGGGTTTAACAAAAAAAAATCACAAAACAAATATTGGATATATAAATCTCATGTAGTAATGACCTAAACTACATCAAACGAGACATGAATTTTTTATTTTATTTTTTTCTATCAACAAAGACATGACTTGACAAAAATAAATTGGAATCACTACTACATTTTTTAGTTTGCGCGACAAAGATTTGCGCGACGAAGACATATTCGTCGCACTATGATGTTTAGCGCGACGAAAAAATCAATAGGTCGCACAAACTTCCATGGATAATAATTTTATAATTTTTTACGATCGCGACTAATATATTTTTTACGGTCGCGCAAAGATGCGGAAAAAAAACCTGGGAAAATCGCATTTGGAGGCAAAACTTGCGCGACAATTTATTCGTCGCGCGAAATGTGTTTGCGCGACGTAAACAATCATCGTCGCGCAAAATAAATAGCGGGAAAACAAACAGTGTTCCAGATGTTTCGCGCCACAAGTTTGCGCGACGAAATGGTGTATTAGTCGTGCAAGGTGGCTATCATGGCTGCGTGCGTGTCAAATTGGGCTTTTGCGCGACGGAAATTCGCTTTTGCGCGACTAACATTCTCTTGCGACAAAACACTTTGTTCGTCGCGCAAAGGTGTGATGTCGGCACGTCTTTGTGCGCCGCGCAAGTCGATTTTGCCCGACGGATTTTGTCCGTTGCGACGAAAAAATGTGCTCGTCGCGCAAAGATGTGATGTCGGCACGTCTTTGTGCGTCGCTGAAGTGGAATTTGCGCGACGGAATTTGTCTTTTGCGCGACTAATTTATTTGCGGCGTCTTCTTTAACAGAT